CGCCCCTGGAAAAAAAAAAAGGAACATTCACATACCCCACAGTCGGGTATGGGGGGGGGGGGGGGCACCAGGGGGCACCAGTGGGTCTCCCTCCCTCCCCTAACCTCCACCCACCACCTATTCTCCTCTGCTATCCTCTTGGCGCCTATTGTGTCTGGCACATCTATACTAGCAAGTGTTTGTAATGAAGGGACAAAGAGCAACAGAAGAGCAACAAAAAACAGGCTGAAAAACCGTCTGGAAAGCTGAGAAGCATGGGCTGCTGTGACATGTCAGAATTCCTAACCAAACGTGAGTTAAAAGTCAAAAACTAGAAAAAGCTTAAAAAAAGACTTTAAAAACTAATAGAAGGTAATGAATTATTAATAATTTTAAAAATTGGGGTTGTCTAATAAATTACTATAGAGAGAGAACATGTCCGGACCCCTAAAAAAAGCATAAACGGGCCTGAAAAAAACCCAAAACAATTTTGGGGGCTTGGCTCCTCAATGGGGTAGGGTCCTGGACCGTTTTTTTTTTTTTTTTTTTCCTCGAAATTTGCCAGATCCGGACCTTCCAGACCGGACGTCTGGATTCCGGACTGAATCCAGACCGTCCGAACGGCGGTCCGGACGTCCGGATCGTAGCCATGATATATATATATATATATATGGGGCAGCGACACGGTGCAAGGAGGAACCGCATGGGGCCACAGACTGACACAAACAGGCATATTTGTGTTTCTGTGTCTGCGTGTGGGCCCATGCGGCTCCGCCGGGCTATGAAACGCGTCCGCGGGGTCAAGCTCGGAGGGCGGACGTGATCACGGCGGCCGCGGCTCCGGCCGCGGTTGGGTGCGGCCACGACTTTCAGGAATTTTTTGTCACCTTAAACATTTATCAAAAAAAAAAACAAAAAAACATGGGGTTGTAGATCTTCTCAAGATCTAAATTGCGCAATTTTGTATTTTATTTTTTGACTTCGTCTTCGAATTTTAAAAATTCAAAAACTTATTTTCCTGAGGCAAAAACTGTTTTTTTTTTTTTTTCCCAAAAAAAAAACATGAAACGTATGTGATTTTTTTATTTTAAATTCAGTAACGTTTTTTTATATGACCACAAGGCAAAAAAGTTGTTCAGTATATTTTTCTGCATAA